TTGTCTTTCTCATCAGAGCGAGGAAAAGGTCAACCAAAGTTAAGAAATTGTTAACCAGAGGGAAGACAGGACACTGATGGTTATCACATGTTACCATATGTTGGATATTGGCGAATTTGCAAGAAAGAGAGAGTACAAGTTTCCTTTACGCTTGTCGTAAAAATAAAAAAGGGCAATTTTTGACGCCTTTTGCATTATTCTATATCTTTTTGCATTTTGTAATATAAATTACATTAAAAGACTAGATGCTGCGCATATCAAAACGAAGAAAAGCATAATGCGCATTGATCGCTAGTGTTAAAATTGTAAGAAAAAAGTAAAGGAAAAAAATGTTGTAGTGAGATGGACGAAACAGGCATGCTGGCCACAGTTGCAAGGAACGCCATGTTCGATTTAGGACAACCACGTATAGATCAATAGATCCTCACTTATGTCGTGGCCCTCCCAAATTGGTCAAATGTCATTCACGAAAATCAAGAGCAGATCCTTTTTATTTCACTGACACAGTGTATATTTTCCTGCTTCAACCTTTTTTTCTCAGGTTGTTCTGGATTAGGTTATTGATGTACTAAGCTTTTTTATACGGAGTCGAAAAATGCGAAGAGCGAGTCGGATTTTAGACTTTTGTGATGTCTTGGCGAGCAGGAATTATTTCCTGAAACCTGAACTGCCACATTATATACTCGCTTGTCATTTAAACACCGCTGTTTTAGTGTCTGGCTGGGATACATACGTCAAGCCATGGAAGGAATCAAACCATCCGTAAAATAGACCAAAAGCAGAATTCTTTACCCATTCAAAACCCTATATTTAACAACAGATATTATAAAATAACGTTTGCAATAAATCTTCTTACACATCAGGCTGGCAAGTTACACCGCGCGAGATACGAACGCGATATGGATTTGAATGTATCAAAAATTTAATTTTAGAAATGCATTTCTTGCCATATTAAATTTTTTTAACATCGCACTTCCCCCTCTAAAGTTGTGTTTGATTCTTGCTGTGCTATGCTTATATGATGTAAAGTGTACGCTTCTTCTCTCACGATATCCTTAGAGTGTTCTAAATTTGGAACTGGTCCGTAGACTTTATGTGAGAGCACATATTCGAGCTTTCGATCGTTTGTCGCCTTGCAAGGCGTCCACGAAAGTAATGAGTTTAGTACAAAACCAAATTTTATTTGCAGCTCAGCTCGCAATAGAATAGCTATTCACAATGCAGAAAATGTTCAAGAAAATATGTTGAACGCGTGAAGTAAAGAATGAGAGGAGAACAAATAGAGGAGGTTTCGCATGTAGATGCACTGTCCAAAATAAAATACACTCGGGTTGGTTGATCTTAAACAAAGCGAGTAGTATACTGAAATACTATCAAAACTATTTCCTTGATTCCTCTTTAGTGTGGATATTTTCGTAATGGAAGTTTATCAGATGGAATAAATGACACAATTACAGATTTTCTAGAGGCACTTTAGAAGCAAGAGACATTGGAAGGCTAACAGTACAACATGGAAAATTCGAAACAACAGGGCTTATTCCATTCATGAAATCGTGCTGTATGTAATCTGAGTTATCAAGAGAAGAAGAATAATCTTTTGTTAAAATTTTCTTGTGACAATACTGGAAGATTTCGATTATGAAAATGAATAACAGTATTTTTTTTGTTGCAATGATGCTGTTAGAGTCTCGACGATGTTTGAAGACCATGCACGAGTTGTTGTGTTAGGTTGTCAATGTCGTCGTGTCCCCTGAAATTACAACAATAGTTTTATGGTTCTTTCTAAAAAACTGAACTTTTATCTGTGGATAAGGAGGCTTTTGTCCTCATTATTATCCTAACTATTTAGTCAATTGAAACTTAAGCAGAGCATCAAG